GTGTTATCATCCTGGAACATTTTTCCTAATCTGCCCTCCTACTTCGTTATGTCAAATGTAAATCACTCTTCATTTACCTAACACTATTTTTTTGTTATACGTAAGGCTGAATGAAATGTGTTTCAAATTTTTGTTATACAGGTTTTGCTTGCTTTAAGCAAAGTAAGCCTTTGAGTTAAGATAAACTAAATATGTGTTCAAATATATAAAAAAGCTATTAATCTCATTGTTGGCTGGTGCTTCGTGCATCTCTTTGCATTTGGGGGATAGCTCTTTTGGGTGAGAAATTCAATAGGTATTTTGGTGGTGGGAAGAATTTTTCCTGATATTTTTTAAATGCTCTTGGTTGCTATGATATTAGTCATTTGCACTATATTGTTTTCTGAAAAAAATATGTTTTCTCAGAAGGTTTCAAATTATTGTAAGATGCATATCCTAACTTAAAAGAAAAATTAGTCTTCCAGAATTTTTCCATAATTCAGAATTAGGGCCCTTGTACTTTGAAAAAATCTTCAGATGAAAACAGTCATTTGTAGACAGAACTCTAGTCATGTGCATTTCCAGTATGTGAGTTGGCAGTGGTGTTCTAAGAAAAGCAGAATTTATACATTTGGAAACTGTCCCCCTAAAAAGATATACAGATGTTTTGCTTTAGAAGTCAAAACATGAAAGTCAGAAGATTTATATATACCATCCAATTTAGGTGGAATTCTTCATTCCACTAAAGATTTGTAAGCCTGAGATTTTCTGTTTGACACACAACTTTGGGAAATATGTTTAGATGTGCTTCTTTTTAGTAAACAGGCTAAAAATTAGATAGAGGCTTTGAACAGTTTCCTTTCTTGCATCTTTCTTACTTTCAAATCAAGAAAATACACAGTCATCAGACTCTCCTACAGCTGTATGAACTGCCTACTTCAATCATCTATCGATGAACTTGGGAGATCTCTCTGGCACTGTGCTCTTTCCCTACATCAGTAGATACTCTTTTATTTATAGACTGAAAACCCAGAATATTATGGCGTGTGGAACAATCTTTTAAGTCAGGACACCCTAATTGTAAATGCCGTTATTTAATAATTCTTTCAGATTCACTTTACTCGTACCTGGCCTTCTACTTGTGCTTTAAGCTTACTTTTTGTGTTAAAAGCAATATATGGTCTAGAGAAGCAGCCATTAACTTGGGGGTAAAAAAACGAAGAACTTACAGTACTGTGTGGTTCAGCTGTGAACGATGTTTACATTATCATATTAATAATGTAAACTCTGAATATTGATTTAACCAGAAATCAGTATTCTCCCATGACTATATTGGGAAAAGCCTGTGTGTGGTGAGGGAGTTATAAGAGATATCTTAAAAGCCAGTAGACATGTATAAAGTTAAAATAATCAAAAGAATTGACATATCTAAAGAAACGCCAAAAGAATTGATAGTAATTATCTCCGATATGTTGGAAACTGGGGTGGGAGGGTTGGAACAATGAGCTGCTAATTTTTTTCTTACAAACTTATAAACTATGTGCTTGTATTATTTTGATAAAATAAAATGAAAGAGGTGGCACAGGAATGTAACAGGACCTAATAAATTGGATTTTTAAATCATAGATCTTGGTGCAGCTACATTAAAAGTTAAATACTTTCCCTTAGCTTCTGTTTTCAAATATATTCTAATTAGAATAATATGGGTATATCTTTTGTCTTCTGGACCCGAGAGATTGCTTAGAGTATTATCACATTTCACGTGCTCTTATTTTTTGATGCATGTTGTGTATTTCAAATGTAATATAAGCCCTAGCTGAGTTTATTCATTAGATGCAGGTTATTCAATAATAATAACTTCGTCTAGTTTATTATTAAAAACATTCTTCTGAATATACCTAATTTCTTGCCCTCATCCCTACAGTGATATTGTTATCCCTCAGAAACTTTTGACCCCTAATTTGTCAAATGGTATAATGAAGTCAGTACTGTACCGTAAAAATCAGATTTTATTATTTAGTTGTCAGTATTTTAAGCAACTGTTGGGTTGGCCAAAAAGTTCATTTGGGTTTTTCGGTGACATCTTACAGAAAAACCCGAGCGAACTTTGTGGCCAGCCCATAATCAGCACTACCATAGGTGTCTTCTGTTTTCCTCTTGCACTGATGAAGTACGATGATCTGACCAGAGAGAAGCTTTGTGTTGTTGTCCCAGGAGTGGGACTGGGCTTCTCCTTTGTTTTATAGTCAGTTCAGAAACCATGAAGGGGAGGGATTTCTGGAAAGGTCTTACTGGCTTTTTGGTAGTGTTGGGAGGAGCAAAGGGCAGCACGCGCATTCTGTCATGAAGCTCAGCCTCCAGTCAGAATCCCGCCAGTTTATTAGCCAGTCCAGGGAAAGTCTAAGTTTGAAACCTCCAAATAAATATTACTATAGCTCACATTTATTGAGTTCCTATGCTTCAGGTACTTAGTAAAGAGCTGTCATGGTATTATCTCATTTAATCTTCCCCACAATGCTGTGAAATACTTTATGCGTAAGATGAGTGTAACTTTTTTTAAATCTTAGGGCGAGTTAATTTTTTTTTAATTAATTTATTTATTGGCTGCATTGGGTCTTCGTTGCTGTGCGTGGGCTTTCTCTAGTTGCATTGAGCGGGGGCTACTCTTCTTTGCGGTGCACTGGCCTCTCATTGCAGTGGCTTCTCTGGTTGTGGAGCACAGGCTCTAGGCGTGCGCGCCTCAGCAGTTGTGGCACGCGGGCTCTAAAGTACAGGCTCAGTAGTTGTGGCACACAGGCTTAGTTGCTCCGTGGCATGTGGGATCTTCCCGGACCAGGGCTCGAACCCGTGTCCCCTGCATTGGCAGGTGGATTCTTAACCACTGCGCCACCAGGGAAGTCCCCAGGACAAGTTAATTTTTATAGCAAGATAATTGCTTAAGTCCAGGTGGATACTTGGAGACATTTTCATGCTCTGTTACGTTATATATGAAAGGTAAAAAGCAAACTGTTATAGAGCCACATCCAGGAGGCTTCTGCAGGTTTGTAACATAATCACAAGGAGATTTTTGTAGTCATCATTTGAAGTCCTAGGGTTGAAGAAGATTTTTAAATCTGAGTAAATACTGAGACATTCTATACTTTCTTAGATAAGAAGATAAAAAGATGTGAATGTTTTTCTAGCTGACCTTCAAATTTAATGAAACGTTAATAGAATTGAGAGCATAGGTCTTGGCAGAAAGGGTAAATTTAACAAAGTGATACTAAAATTTACCTAGAAAGAGTTAAATATCTGAGAATCACCTAGAAAAACTCAAAAAGAAGAGTAATAAGGATGGCTTCACCCTACTAAATATTAAAGTATACATCAGATATCAAAGCATCAAGATACTGGTGCCACGCCAGACAAATAGATCTATGCTCCAAAACATTCTGGAACTTCAGTAACAGTCAACACATGTAAAGGTGGCATCTTAAATTAAGTCTATAAACTATTCGATAAAAGGTGCTGTGATGTAGGTCACTACTTCACACGTCAAGCCCAAGATGAGTTTCATATGAACTAAGGATTTTATTGTAAAAAATAAAAGTATGAAAAGAAAGTGTTAATAATTATATAATCTTGCTGTGGGACAGGACTGCCTAAGAAGGATATCAAAAGCAGATCACATAAAGGAATAATATTACTAGATTTTCTAGGTAAAATTAAAAGCCATATTACAAAACAAAACTTTAAAAATCAAAGACATAAAAAAACGTAATAAAAATTAATGCATATGACTAACATGTGACAAAGGGTTATTATCTTTAATATAGAAAAGAACTCTTTCAAATGAATATGGAATATTAACTATCCCAAGAGAAAACTGGTCAAAGAACATGTGCACTTAATACTAACACAAAAATCAGTAAACAGATTGCAAAGTACTTAACCTCAGAAGTAATCAAATAAATGAAAATTGTTATATGATATCAGTCATATTAGCAAAGATTAAAAGCAATGATGGTGTTCAGTATTAGTGAGGGGAAAGGAAAGTGGGCATTCTCATATACTGTTGGGCTTCTGTTCCTGAAGACAGTTTGGAACCGTGTGTCAGAAATGTTGATATTTGTATCTTTTCATTTAGCAAATCTGTGCCTCTGGGGATGATCCTTAAGAAGCAGGTAGAAAACGGTTCAAAGATACATGAAGATAAATGTTTATTGTAGTATCAGTAATAGTATTAGGCAAACTTACATAGTACCATAGGAGACTGCTTAAACTATGGACACCTAAACAATGGAATACTACTCAGTTATGAAAAGTGAAGGTGCAAAACTGTACTTAGTGCCTTAGAATACCTTTTACAATATATTAAGTGGGAGAGAAGAAAACAGATTTCAGAGTGGTAGGGACATATTCTAATTTATTTTGTTTTTAAGGTTTATATGCATATTTTTACATGTGGAAAAGTCTGGAAGTATGAACGCCAAAATGTTAATTATACTGACCTCTGGATATGAGACTTAATATGATTTAAAGTTTATTTCTTCTTAGGTCTGTTTTTCTTTTCCATTCACCAAACATTTATTGAGCTAGTGCTGTGACTAGCCATTGCATTTTCTAAAATGATAAAATATAATTTAAACAGTAAAAATTTGATGTTTTAGGGAGGTAGTTACCATTTAGAGATATTTCCATTAAGTGATTGAAATAATGTCTTGGTCATTAAAGTGGTATGTTCAGTTATTCATTTATTTGCAGCACTTTATTCATGAAAAGTACAGAATAAAATGAGACATTAGTGTAATGTGCTGAAGCAGCCCAAAATGATCCTAATAAGAGAAATTATTTTCATTCATATGAAACATAAGCCATCTCTATCTAACGTAGTCTTTCTTCACGTGGAGAGATGTTGATTGCATGGTCTACACTGCTTTGTATTTAAATCAGAACTAAGGTTCTCATAGGTTCATTGTGAAAAGAATGGGTTTTTAATGGTGAGTAGCCACAGTTGCATATTTTTCATTTCTTAATTTCAGGCAACTACAAGAACAGCAACGACAAAAGGAGCTGGAGCGGGAAAGGCTGGAGAGAGAAAGAATGGAAAGGGAGAGATTGGAGCGGGAGAGGTTAGAAAGGGAAAGGCTGGAGAGGGAGCGACTAGAACAGGAGCAGCTGGAGAGAGAGAGACAAGAAAGGGAACGTCAGGATCGCCTGGAACGGGAGAGACAAGAGCGGGAGAGGCTGGAGAGGCTGGACCGGGAAAGGCAAGAACGAGAGCGGCAAGAGCAGCTAGAAAGGGAGCAGCTGGAATGGGAGCGAGAGCGAAGAATGGCAAATGCCGGTAAGAAGTTGACCGATTGTTCCGTGTTCCTGATGTCTGAGCTTGGATGGCCGTGGCATTTTGTGTATTCGTGTATTAGAAAGAATAGTTCACATTTGAGGTGCTTGGGATTAAGCAATACGATTTGAAATTAGAACAAATATGTGGCTATTGCTGCTTTAACATTTTCTTTTTTTATTTCTATTGCTTTTATTGCTTGGAGACTTAAAGAAAGCTCCAGGAAATTTTTATTCTGGCATTCTAATTCTTCGAACTCCCTATAAATTGGCTATAAAGTGTAAGTGTGTTTTTATGGGAAATTTTTATATTAGATGAACTTGGAATATATTTCCCTTCTGAGAGTGCTTAAATTGTCTTGAATACCGTAGCATTCCAGAAATTTGTTTGATTGTATTCTGAAGTTTTTGAAGGAGGAATTAAAAACAGTAGGTTAAAAAGTATCCTCTCTAGAACTGACTAGTAATTTAAATATATGCAAGTATTGTGAAAAATTAGTAAAAATTACTAAATCTGATGGAATTTTATTGAAAGACATAAGGGTTAAGATATGACTGAAAATTTGAGGTATTTTGACATTCATTAAAATTAACATTTATTATAGGATTTAAGAATTATTATTTTATTCCATATGGCCTATATCTAAAGTTTCAACGTGGGTCGATTAAATACTGGTTGATTGGTTTCTTGTTTGAGTTCATTCATTTGCTTTTGATTGCCTAATTGTTTTCTGGAGTTATAGCCAGCAAAACAAAACTTTTCCACAAATAAACATTGAATTTGGGGGTTTCTAGCCCTTTATGATAAACTTTTTGCTAGTTTCTCTTTTTATTATTTAAAAAAAAACAACTAAGCTTACTCTTCTTTGTGGTCTTATTCATGTAATGTTAATGTCCTTTTAGTGGACGAAATAATGAAATTAAGACTACGATATTTTTCTTGTAAAGAATAAGCTAATCAGTTTAATTTGTCAGTCAACTTGTTAGAGTAAAAGAAAACTTGTCCTCTTTTGGATCTTAGAATGTATTTATAAGTTAAGACATTTTGGAGTGAAATTAGTTATTTGCCCATGTGCTTATTCTCTGGTACTAACTGTAGTCTACATTTGTACATTTTGTCTGAATGCTGGTTTTGTGGCTTTACTAGCTCCCTTTTTCTCTCTCCTTTTTTATCCTGTCTTTCGCCGCTGCTTTCCACCTCTGTCCAGCTCCATCCTCCGACAGCTCCCTGTATCATGCTCCACTTCCTGAGTATGCCAGTTGCCAGCCTCCTTCAGCACCTCCTCCATCATATGCTAAAGTCATCTCAGCTCCAGTGTCAGAGGCCACTCCTGATTACGCTGTAGTGACTGCTTTGCCACCCACTTCCACACCCCCTACACCACCACTTCGACACCCCGCGACACGTTTTGCAACATCTCTAGGTTCAGCCTTCCACCCTGTTCTTCCCCATTATGCTACAGCTCCTCGTCCTCTGAACAAAAACTCTCGACCTTCTTCTCCTGTGAACACACCCTCTCCTCAACCTCCAGCTACGAAGCCCTGTGCCTGGTCTACTTCCAGTTTCTCGCCCCTCCCTCCGTCTCCTCCAGTAATGATTAGCAGCCCCCCAGGCAGAGCTACTGGTCCAAGCCCTGTCCTCCCCGGTTGTGTTTCTTCTCCTGTGCCCCAGAGGCCTCCATCACCAGCGGCCCCCAGCGGGCTGCTCGACTCTGTCACGTGTCCAGTGTCTCCACCGCCTACCTCAGGGCCAGCTGCGCTGCCACCGCCTTCCCTCGCACCACTTTCACACTGTGGATCTCAAGCCTCTCCTCCTCCCAGCACCCCTGTTGCCTCAACTCCCTCATCCAAGCCTAGTGTTCTCCCTTCTCCCTCTGCAGCTGCCCCTGCCTCTGTGGAGACTCCTCTAACCTCTGTGCTGGGAGACTCCTCTGCTTCTGAGCCAGGCTTGCAGGCAGCCTCTCAGCCGGCCGAGACTCCAGCCCAGCAGGGTAAGGCTTCCGTTATTGCGACTAACAGCTAATCACTTGGAAATGTTACACATCCACAGCTTTAATTGCCTAGAAGAATGGGGAGGATGGTTTTTGAAAAAGGCGAAGGTGGGTTCTTTTCTGTTGGATTAATTGCATTTGGAGGATCAGTATGAGGGATTTCCATATTGAACTAGATTTGGATATCTTCTGCAGTGTCATAGTCAGAAGTGTCATTCAGTATTTAAGGGCTTCTGTATGTTTCTTTTCATTTTCACTAGGAAAACATTCCTTGATACATTAATCCACACAATAAATATATTGATATAATCAAACTTGCCTTCCTTTAATTTCTGGGAAACATAGAGATTATATTTAGTGCCCAGCTGTAGTCGTTAGATCTGTCATCCAGGAGTCTCCTCTGGGACAGTTCTGATCTTGGACCCTATTTCGTTTTGGCCTGTCCTGTACGTATTGGGCTTCTCATATCAGACTTCCATGGATGGGTGCCACCCTAAGCCCTGGGGAGCAGCCCAACTTTGCACAAAGGGTGGAGAGGATGGCAGGCTTGATATGTGCCCCAAAGGGTTCCATGGTCCAAAATTCCAAGAAGTAGCAGGCTGAAGGGTTAGTTGGGAGAGGATAGCATCCTCTACAGTTATCCCCCCACTCCCCATGCCTGAACTTTGCTGTCACAGTGACAGGGGAGGGGGGATGTAATCTAAGTATGGATTATTTGTAAGCAGAGAAGGACCTTGTTCTATAAGTAAGTAAGAAGATACTTAACCCGCTCCCTTTTAAAGTAGGATTTAGGGAGGATTACAGGAAGGAATATGACAACAAATTTGTACTTACAAAGGAACGGTGTTCTAGTCTGGATTTGAAACATTTATTTAAAAAAGAAATCTTAGTTCTTAAGGGCTCGTTATTGCTGTGTGTATATTTTTCATGTTGACTTACTGAATTTGCTTAAAGGTTGAGTCACAGCTCTAGTAGGTGCAGTTCCGTATCATTGTGAAAGTGATTCTGGAACAAGAGAGACACAGTTAGCCTGACAGCGTCCAAAGGCCCACCTCCTGTATCCTCAGAGCTCTGGTGACCCCTCATGCAGCCCATCACTATATTCTTCCAGCAATTTATGATTCCAGCTTGTGTAACTGTTCAAAGTTAGCAGTTTCAAAAAACTTACCACCCAGTTTGCAAATACCATTTTATTTGTCCTAAAATACCCCTTTAAGCCTTAAGGAAGGGGGAGGACCTACAGGGTCAGTCTCCTGGTTCCTGTTCTTGTCCACTCCTTTGTGATTTTACAAGATCTGGACATTTCTCTCTTAACCCCTGTCTTCTGTACTTCAAATTCTATGTCTCCTCATTATTTCTGATAGTTGTTTTGAGGTTTTACTTTGTTCTAGTAGATTCCTTTACTTCAACGATTCTCAATTCTCTTTATACATTGCTTTTAAATGTGGAATATTTTTGAGATATTGAAGCCTGGGACCCACCCTTCTTTCATGTTCTCGATTCAGTCACTTTGGAAAGCAAGTAACTATATGCTTTCACTGTTGTAGAATTTATTGTCTCAACTCTTAAGGTTTACCCAGATTATTTTGGTCGGTTATTTTGAACAGCAGCACTAACTGTGCCATCCTATACATTCATTTGTCTTTTCAGGGATGCTGCCTCTGTCCCACATTTTATAAGCATTTATTTTACTTACCAAATGCCCGTGAGCAAAGAAAAACAAAAAAACTAATTTAGATGATCTGTTGCAAAGTTCTATTAATAAAGCTCTAACAGTAAAGGGAGTAGTTATACACTTTGGCCGTAATTGTTAGTATGTTTTTAATACTGATTTGGACTTTAAGTATTATGATAAATTGAACTCATTAATTTGTACTGAATGTTCAAGTTAATTTAGCATGTCATTCTACATGCTTTTCCTCCTAAGATAGTGTCACTTAGCTTGTTGTTGATGGTCTTAACATTTCTTTCTCTCAGGCATTGTCTTGGGACCACCTGCACCTCCACCCCCTCCTCCACTCCCGCCAGGTCCTGCCCAGGCATCAGCCGGACTTCCTCCTCCCCCAGGACCCCCTCCACCCCCTCCACTTCCGTCCTCAGGGCCCCCGCCTCCGCCTCCTCCGCCGCCTCTTCCTAATCAAGTACCCCCTCCTCCCCCCCCACCTCCTGCTCCTCCCCTCCCTGCATCTGGATTTTTTTCGGGATCCATGTCTGAAGACAATCGCCCTTTAACTGGACTTGCAGCTGCAATTGCTGGAGCAAAACTTCGAAAAGTGTCACGGGTAAATGCATCTCCTAATTAATTGTATTTTTTACATCATGTCTTATTCTGTCTCAGTATCTAAAACATCGAATTTATTGTATTCTGATTTTATGAACCCTATGTTATTAACTTCATCGACTAAAAAACATGTGAAATAACTTAAACTTAATTAAAGTTGCAAGAATCATAGTTTCTGTAACATTCACCACTTAACATTTTACCACATTTGCTTTATTATTCTTTGTGTATGTTTCCTTCTGTATAAACAGACACACACACTCTCTTTTTGTCTGAATTGAGAATAAATCAGAGACACCTTGCCCCATTTCCCTAAATACTTACCTCTGTATTTTGTAAGAACAAGGATATTCACCTACATGACCACAGCATGATTATCAAAATCAGGAAATTCAATTGATACAAATCTATGCAAGTTTCATCTATTGTCCAATAGTGTCTTTTATGGCACTTCTTTTTCTACTCCATCACCTGTTATAGTTTGTTGTAATGTCTCTTTACTTTTAATCTGTAGTATTTCCTCAATCTCCTCTTTCATGATATTGACAATTTTGAGGACAACAATATAATTATTTTGTAGATCATCCTTCAGTTTGGTTTATCTGATATTTTCCTAAGATTTGATTCGAGTTATGCATTTTGGGGGGCAGGTTTTACATATTTTACTACCAACGTAACATGTCCTTTTCAATGTATTACACAAGGGGACGTGTGATAGCATTTTATCCCATTATTGGTGATGTTAGCTTTGATAAAACTTCACTGATACATAAAATTACTCCATTGGTCCTTAAAGTTTAAAAAACAATATCTAGGTGTTTTTATTGAAATGAATGCTGATACATCCTTCTGTTTTGAATGTAATATATTAATAAACGTAGGATTGTCCCACATAGGAGTTTATTATGTATGTATATTCTCATGAAGGTGGAGGATGCCTCTTTCCCAAGCGGAGGGAACATTGGTGTGAATTCGGCCTCGTCTAAAACAGATACGGGTCGTGGAAATGGACCCCTTCCATTAGGGGGCAGTGGTTTAATGGAAGAAATGAGTGCCCTGCTGGCCAGGAGGTGAGTGAGAAATTATATGGATGTGTCCAGAATTGAGAGGATTTTGTTACTTTTATTCTAAGTATAATTTAACTAGATGCAGTTCTTCCCTTTTGGCATAATTTTACACTAAGTTACCTGATGTTTTTTTTAAAAAATTGATTTACCTTCTTTCTAGGAGAAGAATTGCTGAAAAGGGATCAACAATAGAAACAGAACAGAAAGAGGACAAAAATGTAAGTTAATAAAAATAGTCTACTACATGGAGACTTCTCTGGCGGTCTAGTGGTTAAGACTTTGCGCTTCTACTGCAGGGCCGCGGGTTCGATCCCTGGTTAAGGAACTAAGATCCCACATGCTGCGTGGTGCAGGCAAAAAATAAATAAGTAAAAATAAAAATAGTCTAATACACCTGGAAATGTGAAATTCAGGTATAGCTCATTCAGGAAATTGTGTCAAAGATTAGTTTGAACTTAATTAATTTCAACTAACAGTTGTTTCTTTTTAACTCTTCAGATACTAAAAATAGTATTATTTATAAATTTTTAATGGCATTCTTACTTAGTAAAATGGGTTGAATGTGTGGAGTTGGGGGAAAAGCACTGAAATTCTCACCTTTAGAGTTTAATTCTGTACCCAAGCCTACCATTGAAGGAGTGAATGACCTTTTACTAGGTTTTTTAAATCTCTTAAAGTCTCAGTTTCCTTACATTTATAAATTTATTTATTTATTTTATTATTTATTTTTGGCTGCGTTGGGTCTTCGTTCCTGCGCGTGAGCTTTCTCTAGTTAGTTGCGGCGAGCGGGGGCTACTCTTCATTGCGGTGTGCAGGCTTCTCATTGTGGTGGCTTCCCTTGTTGCGGAGCACGGGCTCTAGGCGCATGGGCTTCAGTAGTTGCAGCTCGCGGGCTCTAGATCGCAGGCTCAGTAGTTGTGGCACACGGGCTTAGTTGCTCCGCGGCATGTGGGATCTTCCCCAGCCAGGGCTCGAATCTCTGTCCCCTGCATTAGCAGGCGGATTCTTAACCATTACATCACCAGGGAAGTCCAGTTTCCTTGCATTTAAAATGAAGGAATTAGACTAAATCACGGTTTTCAAATGTTTCCCCTAGAAGCCCTGTGGTTATTAGCTGTGCCCTGCTCTCTAGTACAGGAGGGCAGACTCTGCTTTATTTGTTTTATATATTAGTGTTTAACAGTATAATTGTTTTCCCTGCTGCATTTGGCCTTCTTTGATGCCATTCAAATCTCTCTCTCGTATCTGGCTTAATCACATTGGCGAGCACAGCTCTCAATGAGGATGCATGAGGAAAGGAGCCATGGGGAGCTGCAGGGGGTGGGAACAGGGGTGGAGGTGCTAGGATAAGAAAAAGGTCTAAACTAGTGTAGAAGGGAGAAAAGATTGATGAAGGGAAAAGTGGGAAATGGCAGAAAGTATGAAACACCAAATGTCTACAACAGGTTTCTAGAAGATGTGGTATTATTAATATGTATTTCTGTATATTTAGGAAGATTCAGAGCCTGTAAGTTCTAAGGCCTCTTCAACGAGTACACCTGGTAAGTTCGAGATATATTTTAATCTTTATGAACTTTCTGTAAGTATCAACACTCCTCAATTAAAAATTCCCCATTTCCCCATGTTTGGGTAAAGCGACTGCTTAGTTACTAAAACTTTCAAGTTCTTTGTTCACATTTGAGAGCACTGACTTTTTCCTCTACCTTTTGTGACCCCAGAAGCAGCTGTTAATTTCTTTCCGATATTGGGAGATCTATTAAAATCCAAAGGTTTTTTCTGATGACTCTTTCTCTGAAAATCATGATTTTTGCACATTCTGTGTATATTATTGTTAATGACTTGAAGTTATTCACTTAAACAAGGAAAAATATGTTATCCATATGAAAGGGAAATATTTTTAGTCATTGATTCTTAAAGGTAAGGATTATGTGAGCATGTAGCTAGCATTGAAGTCTATCTCAAAACATTCTCCCATTGAATCGTCATTTTAGCCATTCATTTGCGTAATATTGATAATCAAGGAAATAAAGCTTCTAATTTGTAAGGCTGAAAAAATTTTAAACAACAAGGATTTACTATATAGCACAGGGAACTATATTGTAATAATCTATAATGGAAAAGAATATATCTGTGTGTATATAGCCGAGTCACTGCTGTACACCTGAAACTAACACAATATTATAAATCAACTATATACTTCAATTAAAAAAATAATAGAAATAAATCTCCTTAAAACTTTTGGGAAATGTTCTTGAATTCAGTAAAATTTCTGACATTGAAAAGTCTTGGGCATAGAATATATTACTTAGAATATTAACAAAATACATTTCACTGGAGGTACTTAATGATGACTATATCCATATTTAGAATTTGAGATTGTTACAGTGTACATGTCATTTCTTCATATTTGACTAAAGGCTAAGCATTAGACTGTCGATTCATCTCCTTACCTAATTTGGAATGAAGTGACATAAGTAAATTTGATGAGTTTGATGAATTAATATTTAGAATGAGCCATAAGAATCCATTATAGGAAATTGTCTGTAACCATTCATTCTCATTATTGAATAGTGACTCTTCAGCGGTCTGATTGCTGTATTATAATTTATATTGTGACTGTGAATAAGTTTTCCTCTGAATAGGACTCAAATCAGTTTATGTTATCTTCATTAAAAATTCAAAGCCAAAATCAAAATGCATGCTGTTATTAAAACCATAAATGTTTTAGAATTCAACTATAATTTGGGGTCACAGAAACTTTTAGAATTTGAAAAGAGCTATGGACCCTCTCCCAGGGAGGGAAAAATCATATTTTTATACAAAATTTGTCACCATTGCAAAATATTCGTGAATTCCCTGAGAGTTATCTATGGACTCCAGTTAAGAACTCCTTATCTAATATATATCCCCTTATTTAAAATATGAAAACTGAAGCATGGATTTTGCGTGTGTTTTTGTGTGTATGTTTGCATATGTGTGCCATGTTTATAAAATTAAGGTTCATTCAGAAGGTCTGGAGGCTTCTTTTTTTTTCACTTGTTTCAGTCAAAAAAAAAATTTTTCCCCCTAATTGCCGCGTGTCAGACACTTGACAGGCCAAAAAGAAGCGAAAGATAAAGTCACCCTAAGCGCAAGAAATCCATGGTTCAGCTGGGATGATGAGATACACACAAGTGAAAAGTTCATCCTTTGCAACCACATGTTGAATTATTAAATAATGTGTCAAAGAGGGAGGAGATTGTATAGTTTGGAGTCACCTGGGTCGTCTTTGTAGGGAAAAAATGACATTTTACCCTGCCTTAAAGAGTATTTATTTACCTTAGCTGAAAGTAGAGGAAGGGGTGCTGTTTCAGGAAGTGGGTACGTCATGGGCAAAGATGGGAGTTGGAGCTGGAAGAGACTAGGAAATATCAGGTAGACTGGCCTGACTAGGATGGAGGGTTCTTTTTGAGGCGTATTGGGGGAGAAAGTTTGGAAAAGCAAGTTAGAAGTAAAATGTTCAAAGCTTTTTATGAGAAGATCAGGAGTTTAGACTTCATCCTGCAAAGAATTGAGTTGACAATCAACTGAAACTGTTCTGGGAACATTAAAATTGCAGTTGTGAGCAGAGTGATGTAGAAATCAGGGAGGACCAAGATAGGGAAACTGGTGCCAGTAAGGATTTGGTGTGTTTCCAAAGACCCAATGAAGGCAACCCAGCCTCTGTCCTTCCTCCTGAAACCGACCTGGAGCCCCCTGGGAGAGAACACGGCCTCACTATCTGCAGAGCCAAACTGAACTGCTCTTCCGCAAAACCACATGCGCTCTCTGAAGATGAAAGGATAGTTCTGGTTTGGCTGATTGAGAAAGGACGTCAGCCAACTGTTAAATGGTAGCAATTGCTACGTCTTATCATGTTGGAATTATTTCTTCATCTCTTTGCCTGCCTCTTCTTTAGTGACAGTGTCCTAATGGCTATTCTCTGCCTGTCCAGTTGTCCTTCAAGATTTCCCTCTTTTCCCCTCCTCTGGCAGATGTCTCTTGGATGTGTTTCTGGTTCTGTGTGTCGTGGACCTCCTCATCTGATTATCTGATGTCCCCTGGCTCACTCTGTGGTGGTCAATGAGAGAGTGTGTTAGCTGTTAGAATACAGATGAAGGAGTAACCATTGATTGATTGACAGGGAGTAAAGCAAGATGAAAGATGACTTTGTTACTTTGTTTCACACCTAGGTGACTGAATGCAACAGAAATCCAGAACAAAAGCAGTGTTTCAGAGTTTGAGTTGAGAGTTTAAGTTTAGTTTTGCATATATGCAGTTTGAAAAGAGGACAAGCTACCTCAGTAAGAATGTGCATAGGCCAGTTGAGGGGCTACCTTGGAACTCAGACCAGTTCTTTTAGCTAATACTCTGTGCAACTTGTAATGTAGACTTGATGCTCATGCGGCCCAGATTCATCCTTCCATGACAAGCGTCCACTCCAGATTTCGCCCAGTCATCCAGTGAGGCCAGTGATGGCATCAGCGAGGCAGCCCAGATTAGAAAAACAGTTCAAAGCACAATCAACTAAAAGCTCAGAGGGAACTTTATTTAACTGGAGTTGTCTGCTAAGTCCCAAGAATTGGATTGGTTGTTTGACAGTCAAGGAAGTACAATACAGTCGGATGATTCTGAAATATATTTTGAGTTTGAATTTTTTCCCAAGAGGACTGTTTGAATATAGATTAACTATTGAAGTACATGAACACATTAAAGATTCTTTTTATTAGTTTTACCATTGGCACTAAAAATAGTTTAAAAGAGTATAGTTAATACTGTCCCATTCTTATAAATTTAAACTATCCTTATTAATTTAAAATAATTTTCACAATTCCATTCTAATTAATTAAAATTGTCTTACCCTTAATCTTATTATCCTATCTTTATTAGAGAAACTTCTTACCATCTGGTGTTTAAAATCATTGTATTTTAGATTTAACAATCTAAGTTCTTCTTAGGGAAACTTGTCATACTTGCTTATTAATTTCTTCTCATTTTGGGGTCTGAAATGGTACAAATTAGAATCCTAACTCTGGGAGCATACAGGATATTTAATAACTTACATTCTTTTATTTTTAAAGAACCGACAAGAAAACCTTGGGAAAGAGCAAGTACAATGAATGGCAGCAAGTCACCTGTTATTTCCAGGTATCAGTTTTTTTCCTAAGTTTTATTTTAGAATTGTACCTGAAAAGAAATCTGCATTTTTATTGTAAAAAATATTCGAATGGTAGATCTGAAATTGTACAAAGGAGCAAATAAAACATCTATAATCCTACTGCTGTTGGACGACCACTAAGCCCCACTGTATTTTTATTAGTAATTGTCTAAATTCTACCCTATGCTTATTATTGTCACCCAGGTTGTCTGAAATTTTAAGATAGCTTTATTCCTCCCAATTTTTTTATTTTGAAAAAATTCAGAACTGCAGAAAAGTTGAAAGAAGAGTATAGCAAACGTCCGTGTGCCCATCACTTAGATTCACCAGTTATTAACATTTTGCCAGCATTGGCTTGAACTCATATCTACACATCCACACTTGCTTCTCTGAATAGGTGGAAGGCAGTTTGCAAATCTGTGCTGCTTCAGCCTGAATACTTTAGCATTTTTATTAAGAAACAGGACATTCTCCTGTATAACCTCAATACCATTATCCCTGTCAATAAACAACATTGAACTTTTGAAAGAAACTTATGTTTTAAACTGAAAGGCAGCTGGAGAGAAAAAGCTACAATGTTTAAGAGAGAGTAAAATAAAACCTAAAATTTTGAATTTATAAAGTAGAAAGATTTATTTTTCAGTTGAAACTTCTGATTATAATCGAGTTAGAAAAGATAATGCTCAGAAACAAGACTGGTTAATTCGTGTTTCTGCAAGTGGCTTTGTATGCATGGTCAAGCAAATTCAGTATTTCTTAGCCAGGCATACTTTACTATCATAACTAACTTTATATCATAGGTCTTTAAACATAGGTGAAACTTTTTCTTGGTTTATGAGACAGTTTAAAGGACTCATATTTTTTCCAGAGAAAGGTATGTATCTAGAGACTAAAGAGTTTTTTCGCCTTTTCTTTCTGAGCTATTTGTCTTATTTTTGCCTCATAAAAAGCAAACTTGAGTCTAATTATAGAAACCTAATAAAGAAAAATGCAAGAGTAGATCTTATATTGTCACAAGTCTGTTGTGTGTTAGCTTCAATCTAAGTTTGGGTTTGTTTTTTGTGTGGTTCTTTCTGTTGGTGGGAAGATTTGGTGATGACATAGTTATTTAAGCTCCGCAAAGAAACTGGGCCTTTTTTGAATGTATAGAAGCTTTCAGTTTCTAAGTGACTGAAAGATGAATATATTTGATTTTAGGAGAAAATGGCAGAATTGCTTTTGGTGAACATGTTTTTTCAGTAGAGTAGAAAAATTGCACATTTATGTTCTCGCGTACCTAATTGATGTGGCCTTCTAATGCATCTCCAGTAGTTGTTACAGATTTTCTTCCGTAGCACATTACGAAGCCTGGTTTATCAAGTGCATATCAGAACAGAACTGTGACATGCCATTTGTCCTTTGTCACTACTTTCATCCCTTCCTCATTGATAGGGATTCTGTAGTGAGCTTGGCTGAAGCTAAACTTAAATTCATGGCAAAAGTCCTATCTTAGAAGGGACATGGAAAAGCTTCTCCAGGTGGAATGTATGTGTTCCTTGATGTGGGTGGGTTCATTTAATGAAGGAAAGAATTTTATTTCAGAGATTTTTCAGACTTCTAAAGGAAGTTTAAGTAAGTGCTCTAAACATCACCATTTAAAAAATATTTTGTCAAATACAGGTTCTTATATCTAGTAGTGTATTGTAATGATGTTCTAGCTCTGGTAGATAGTTTTCCTCTCTCTTCCCAAAATAGACGTTCCAATTCTTTCCTGAGCGCTCATATCCCTTTTGATAGATTTGATCCAACCACTGATATGTATGTCTTAAAATTTCACTGCAAGCAGTTTTAAACCATAAAAGATTTTTAAAATATGTTTAAAAGACTAATAACTGTATTGCTTTTCTTCCTAAATTATTTACCCTGTTCCTTCTGAAAGCAAGTATCTTGGCCATTTTTTGTTTTTATTTAAGCACACTTTATTCTTGCACAGGACTGAAAGTACCCATTTCTCTTCTGAACATCCATGTCAAAATTATGTTAGTGATAAGATGGATTAATATCCTATAATATACATGAGATATTGCATTATGCTCTATTTATTAAGTGAAGATGTCAGACAGAATAAAAGCAAGAGTGTTGAAGTTAAAAATGCTCTAAATCATGCCTGGAACATAACATTGGAAAGTTTGTGAATTCTTCCCGTGGTTTCTATTAAGAGCTTACAGATCTTGTATTCAAGATGGAAAAAGAGTTCTTTATGTGCCTCCTGAGAAGAGTTAATTATGTATACTTCAAGCTATAGTGATTTTCATTGTGTTTTTTATTTGAACCTGTAGTTTTATTTGTATTCACTCTAATAGAAATGTCTTTGGTTGTGTTCTGATACTTGTTGAATCTTTGTATAGGTAGATTTTACTATGTCTGCAGTCTGTAAAAGTAGCCATTGGCATAATGATTTTTAAAAATTCTCTATAATTGTCAAGTAAACAGTGTCCTCACATAACTAGATTCAGTCTCCAAATAATTCTTTTTTAATTGGGAAAAACAGTTATTTTAAAGTTAATGGACTCCTTTAGTTCTTCTTCTGTTTGCTATAACTAAAAACCTATAAAACAGTAACATAATGAGAATTAATTTTTAAAGTTCTATTGTATACCCCTTTAAATGGTTTTTCCCCTTCATAGACGGGATTCTTCAAGGAAAAATCAGATTGTTTTTGACAACAGGTCCTATGATTCATTACACAGGTATCATCCTGATGTGACTTTGTGATTTGAGACTTTGAAATAATATGTTATAGGGCTGAGCTTTTTCTACATGGATTGGTCATCACCACAGGGAGAGATGTAGGCAGATCGAGCCTTTCATATTTAGCTGTATTTAGAACACTTTTTAAAAAAATTCTGAGCGATTTTAATGAGAAAAATTAATAGATTAATAGTATTCATTTCCCCGTCATCAGTTTATATTTGGATTATGATAAATATAAATGATAAACATATCAGAAACACTAACATAAATGATAAACATATCAGAAATACTAGCATGGGAATCTAAGGCCTCATATATCTAGAGTGTTTGTAGCTTTTGCATTTTATTTTAAAGGCCGTTCTCTTTATGAGTATAAGACAAGGCTTTAAAAATTTGAATAGAAGATCCTGTACTGTTTGTCACTGGAACACAGGACAGTACTATAGCCACAATTGTAATAATTTATTATTTGAGGAAAATCTCTATTTCCTACATACTTTGCAGTATACTGAGTATCTTTAACAACCTAACATCCTTGAGATTATTTCTTTTCTAGGATGAGTCTTATTATACCATTTTTTAATTAAGAAAACTTAGGATATGAGCCATGTATTTCTTTCTTGATTAAAAAAATTGACAATTACTTAAAATCCTCAAGTGCTTAAGCCATATTTAGAATTAATTTGGCAGAATAGAGACTTAAACAGTTGTAGTACAGTTATTTTATAGGCAGGTATCTAGAGGCAACACTCTCATTATAAAGTAATAAAAACCTCTGAGAATCCCCCTTTTTTCTTATCAATTATGGTAAAAACCCTTATGTTAGAAATAACTGAGACATACCCATGTTATTATATACATCTATTTTTAAAACTACACATCAGGTCTACTGGGAGCATGAATTAAATAGTATATGGAGGGGGTGTCTATGGCAGTGAGTAAGGAGTTCTGTAATCAGACTCTGTGTGGCCAGACTGTTATTAGCTACAATTATTTTCATGCCATAGATGATTAAAATATTTGGTAAGTTCATTTTGTCAGCCAGTTAAATCTGCATAAAGTGTTCATAATACAATAGTGAAACAGTTTCTCCTGCTTTTTTTGAGATGGTTTAATTGTTTTGAGCAGAAGACTTATTTAGAAAATTTGCTAGCACATAGAAAAGTAGCATTTAACAATGAGATTTTCTGTTGTAAATCTTCTCAGTTACCTTGCTGCTTTCATACGTAGTGCCCCCTGGGATAATGTTGATAAGCCTTTTTTGAGAAGTGGTGATTACGTCTTTCCTTCAGTATGAAAAGTTCCCCCCTTTAGTAAATTATCACGGTGGTGGTGGTGGTGGTGGTGGTGGTGGTGGTGGTGATGGTGGTGGTGGTGGTGGTGGTGGTGGTGGTGGTGGTGGAGGAGGTGGAGGTGGAGGTGGATTGCATGTTAGCATGAGTTAAAGTTTTTAAAAATTGCATGTTTCCACAGTTTTCTGTCATATAACAATAATTTTGCATTGTTTATTAAATATGGATATATTCATAACATACTGCCTGGTTAAGTAGCCGACCGTAGTTATTCACATGAATTTCAGGGATAGTCCGTAACATCTTACCGAAAAACTCTAACAAACTCTTTGGCCAGCCCGGTATAAGTTTAGGAGAAAACAGTTAGCTAGTTTGTACCAGTTAAATGTGAAATGTAAAAGAAAAGCAGAATAAATAATAATTTACTTCTGGAGAGCAGGATGGACACTATGGGTAAATGAAATGCACAGTATGTCAACCTTTATGAATATTTACTGTATAGACCAGGCTCTCCAGAGCACTGTGACTTGCACACTGTGGGTCTCAATACGTCTTAATTGACTGTAGAATTAAGTAGTCTCAGCAAAGTGAAAAAGGTGTATTGTCTCAAGAGGGAAGGAAGTATGTCATATAAATCTTCTTATCCAACCCAGGGCCTAGCTCAGTGCCTCTTGAATGAGGTTTTCTGAAAGTTATTATTTTTCTTGTTCATATAAACATAGCAGCAGATATGTAATAAAATTGGTTGTCTTCCTTCACAGCAATCTTTTAAGTTGTCATATGTTTGATGTTAAAGCAGATTAACTCAATATTTTATCTTCACAAACAGTGCCTATGGGTTTGAAGTATAAATATGCCTTATAACAATTATAAGTTTGAAAAAGTTATTATACCCATTGAATCTTGGTTCAAATATCTAACATTGGTACTCTGCAAAGTTGGAAATATATGACCTGACTAATGGTTTTCATTTGCATTGATTTGTGACCCTTAAAGAGTGGCCACTTAGTGTATACTAACCTGAAGATAAAGGACCATCTAATTAAAATTCTAGATTTTCCACTTAGTATTTTCTCTCATTGCCAGAATTGGAGAGGGAGCCATGACTGACTGACTTGATAAAAATGTACCTAATACTTAAGACTTATTTCTCCATGTAAAATTTTTAACAGAAGCTAAACTTCTGAAAGTGCAATAGTAATTGACCATTTGCTTCTATGTGGCATTCCCCTCCCTTTTCCTTTTAAAAAAATAAGTTTATGGAAGTAGTTAGATGACAATTCAGATGATGTCTTCATAAAAACTTCATTGGGAAATAGCCACATGAATATACTTTTAATTTAATAATCATTTTTCCAATATCCTTATTTGTTTTGATGCTTAAAACGGAATAAAACACATACAAAGAAATCATACTCATTAAGTATTTTTTCCCCCTGCATAGAATTTGTAAATTGATTTATATAGAGTGAAATATTCAAGTCTTTATAATTTCCTGTTCATTGGTTTGCCAGATATTTAGTAGATAACGTACAGTTTCAAAAGGAGAAAACATGATTGTTTTACTTGGGCTGGGACGTTGCGGCTGGCCTCCCGTCTGTCCTGATCACCATGCCACATGTTACCCAGTCACCCTCCTCGTGCCCAAAGAGTGTCGTCCTCTACTGGAGAAGTCTTCTCATCTTATCACCTTTTTCTGATTTCTTTACAAATAACTGATAATACTGAGAAAAGTGAGAAATACTTTCATATGTTCTTATCAGTTCTGCAACTATTAGAACAATTAACTTTTTAACTCATGTTTTAAGAAATGTACTTTAATCTGGTGTTGGGTTGGTAAGTTTGCAATTACTAATGAACTCATTAAATATCCTAAGCGTTATTTACCTGTCCTGAAAATTTCATCTGTACAGACCAAAATCTGCACCCTCGTCACAGCCCAGTGCCAACGGAGTCCAGACGGAGGGACTGGATTATGACAGGCTGAAGCAGGTGGGCGACCAGTGGCAGCTTCCCCTTATTTGCACTTGTTCTTTTTTAAAAAATATCCCATGTGCATATGTTTGACAGGTTGCGAACGTGTTTGAAAAGAATGTAGAGTTAGATATTTTTTTACGCAAGTTAAACAGTGGCATTAGTACCATGTTATTTTTTTCAAATCCTCATGTTTTGGTTCATAAGTTTGCATAAAGTGCCAACAGTGGTGGAGGATAGGGGCAATGGTTTAATGGTATATTATAAACATTAAATGTAAGTGAATGGTGTACAATTGCTTAAAAAAAAAATGGGCTTGCACTTTTCACTTATCATTAGCCGAAATGGACCCACCAAGTCTGGTTTTGGCAAGAATGTGAGGAAAATGGGCACTCTCACCTCACATACTTCTGCTTTCTAGGAAGCGGTTTGGGAAGACAAACCAAAAGCCTTAAAAATAAATGATTTACCTTTGAACCCGGCAATTTCACTTTGAAGAATTTATGCTAAGAAAATAGGATAGAAGTATGTAACTATACAGTGTGGAGGAGGGCACTGCAGCTATTAAGGAACCATAACTGAGAATATTGAACAATGAATTGTGAACACTTGCCCACATTAGGTGAAACAGACAGGTAACCAAACAGTATGAACAGTTATGTCGATTTTATAAAAAGGAAAAAGATATTGTTCGTATTTTGGATGCATATGCATTATATTTAATACCTGTATACACAGAAAAAAAAAAAAGGAAGGAGTAATAGGTGATTTTGGAACCTTGAACTATCTTATTTCTAGAAGAGGTAAATAATTTTTTTTTTAAATAGTGGTGTTTAAAAGATTTGAAATGGAAGGCAGGACATCTTAGTAAAACAACTCTCAGTTTTGCAGACCTGAGTACAGATGTGCCTGTAGTGAAAAATTTAATTTTTGTCTTCTTACCCTGCACTTCAGGGTAGCCTCTGAAAATAACGGTTGCACAGATCACTGCAGCAGGCTTTTATTGAGTGTCTGGCGGACTTCAGTGCTACGCATTTGCTAGGTTATTCGCACGACATTGTCCCCTAATTCTCACAGTAGTCAGATAACACAGTGTTTGTACTCAAGTTGTGCACATCTGAGGTTCAGAGAAGTTAAATTTACTCAGTCCCACAGTCAGGATCAGAACCCAGTCTAAAGACTCAGACCTACTAGAGAAATGGACTTGAGGATATGGGCAGGGGGAAGGGTAAGCTGGGACGAAGTGAGAGAGTGGCATGGACATATATACACTACCAAATGTAAAATAGATAGCTAGTGGGAAGCAGCCGCCTAGCACAGGGAGATCAGCTTGGTGGTTTGTGACCACCTAGAGGGGTGGGATAGGGAGGGTGGGAGGGAGGGAGACGCAAGAGGGAGGAGATATGGGAACATATGTATATGTATAACTGATTCACTTTGTTATAAAGCAGAAACTAACACACTTAAATTATTAAAAAAAAAAAAAAGAACCCAGTCTTTATTCAGAGTTCGCTTTTCCCATTCTATCACTCATTTTTTAAAATGCCAACAAAGTTTGAGTGGGGCTTAAAAAGAGACCAATAATGTAGCAATAATGAGTTCAAAGTTAAATAGGAATTAAAGAGACAAATACTAACAATTTCAGATCAACCTAATTTTTATACTGCAAAGCTGTTTGAACAGTTCAGTTGAGTTATGTAATTTGAAAAGCATGTGGTCATTGATAATCAAGCCCTTGTTTCCTGTGTGTTAAACATGGCTTTCTTTTCTTGAAAAACATTTTAAAATGGAGCACTTGCACACATTTAAAATATGGTAAGTTCTTGGCAATCTGAAGTAGGGGACTAGAAGAGAGGATAGATTTGATTTTAGGACTGATTTTAAGTTAAATCAGTTAAAGTTAAGTTAAATAAGTTAATTTGAAAAAGGCTATCTGTTAGTCCATATAATAACTTCTGTGCCTCAGTTTCCTCATTGGAAAATGAAGGAATTAAACTAATTGATAGTTTTCAACCTTATTTTAAGCGTGAAAAGCTTTTTTTAAAAATGAACCTTAAACACAGAGCAATTTAATGTTACCTGAGGTGTGTGCAGTATTAAAGTCAAATAACTTGAAATTAATCCTTCCAAAGGATAGCTATTTTTCATCCATTAAAATTGTGTCACCTTGGGCTTCCCTGGTGGCGCAGTGGTTGGGAGTCCGCCTGCCAATGCAGGGAACACGGGTTCGTGCCCCGGTCCGGGAAGATCCCACATGCCGCGGAGCGGCTGGGCCCGTGAGCCATGGCCGCTGAGCCTGCGCGTCCGGAGCCTGTGCTCCACAACAGGAGAGGCCACAGCAGTGAGAGGCCCGCATACCGCAAAAAAAAAAATTGTGTCACCTTATTAGCCCTTTTAGCTTTCATATTACACAGTCTTCATTTTTTAACTAGGGGGTATCCATTATTTCAAATTGAACTTTATAAATATTGATTTTGCAAAATATGTAAAGATGGATCGGTTTTCATATAGGAAGGAGGGTCCAGAGCATCACTGTTAACTAGGAACATAACACGGGCCACATAGTACTTTAAATTTGTAGTAGCCACATTACATACAGAGAAACAGGTGGTATTCACTTTAATATATTTTATTTAACCTAATATAGCCAAAATAATATTTAAATATATAATCAGTATTTTTAAATTACTAATGAGTTATTGTACATTACTTGCCTCATACTAAATCTTTGAAATCTGGTGTCTGTTTTACATTTACAATGCATCTCGCTTCAGACTAGCCACGTTTCAAGTGCTCAGTAGCTATGTGTGGCTGGTCCCTGCTTCTTGGACTGTGCACGTCCAGCGGGGTCCGATCCTCTTCCTTCCCCACCTATTAGGGCAACCCCTGAGGGCCCTCCAGGGGAATCCTAGATTCCTTGAAACTTAGTTTGGCAGCTCTGGTGACTCCTGAAGTAAGGAGTCCCCGTACTTCAGACCAGGTGACAGATTGGCCAAGCGCTGGTTGTCCAGTTCACACGTCTTCTTCCTTGAAACTTCTTTATGTATTATTACCTCTTAGACAGCTCCCAGAAGACTAGATTAAAAGCAGAGCCATTACGTTTTCTAGAAATTATCTGAATCATACCTTTCACTGGACGACCAAGTAATTATTTTAGTTTTAGAAAACATTCTGCTTCATATTTTGCTAAGCTAGAATAAGCAAAGATTGGGAAGCAAAGGCCATTAAAACAAAATTTACCAAGGTTAATCTTCTACGACATAAATTGTGACTCTGGAAACGAGAAACATACATAATATTTCATACATTCTTAAAATTTTATGTGAGCAAGAATCTTTTTAACAGTTTTTTTTCTGTATTTCTGATGTTTTTCTCTTAATATTTTAGGACATTTTAGATGAAATGAGAAAAGAATTAACTAAGCTAAAAGAAGAGCTCATTGATGGTGAGTGTCTAAACAAATTTGCTACCCTTTAGAGTAGTGTTCAAGAATAGCCATTTTAAAGAAAATGCAAATAAAGAAATACCCAGTTTATTACTTGAGGGCATAAAACAATTACTTTTCCATATTATCCTGCCCTTTACTTGGTTTAGGAGTCAGGGAGGAGCTCTGTCTCCTTCATATAATGGAAATTATTTGTGAGAATAGGGGTAAGCAAGATTCCTAAGTTTCCAGTGTTGAGTAGTATTAGATGGAAAACTAGGTGAAGAAGTCTTTCTCTAGGTTACTTCTGTTCATCCATCCCATCCCACTGACCTCTTGTTTTAAGCCCCAAAAATCGGTGTTTTCGTTTTGTGTACAAAATGGAGAGAATATATAAATATATAGAAATCAGCGTGGTCTTCGTAAAAATAAGAAAACAAAGATTTCTGCAATGAAAGGTGCAAGATCAGTATGTCTTTTTATCACTGTGAGTTTGAATACAATCGTTAACATTTCTTAAGAATGAATCACCCATTTACTTTACCTCATCATTATATTTACTTTTAATATTTTTCCTTTTCCTACCCAGCAATCAGGCAGGAACTGAGCAAGTCAAATACTGCCTAGAGAATCAAACTAAGGAGAGACAGGACTTTAATCTGGAGAAAGGAAAAGAAAAAAAAAACCTACAAAGAACAGCTGTGTTAACAACAACAAAACCCTTACATCTTGTGAGCTGTAAGAAGAAAATGGAGACAAACAGTCGGAAGGAGGGAAAAACCAACATACTTTGAAAGCCTTCAGACATTACTACTCTGGCGATAAGCTGTTTCCCTCACGGTTTTCTGCTTTTCTCTGACCTTTACAACGGGATGGAGGAGAGTCATATAGGAGTTCCTGTATCAGTTATGCAGAAAATACTGAATCCGTCAGGCAAGATCACCATGCATTGAAATACTTTCATGTCAAGAGAAAAATCGCACGTTTTCCACAATCCATTGCTAAAATAAAGAGGAGAAAGGCTTGAGAATTTTTTTTCAGAGAATGGTGATGAGGAATTTAGCAAGTTATGCTATTGTATTGTAAATGTTTCTCTCAGGTTTGTCTTCCTATCATATTTGATATTCCATGAATAATTGAGTTCAGCCCTGTGTAGGTTAAGATCATAAAATGCGGAACAAATGGAATTGTATGTGCTTTCAAAGGGTGATATTTATAAGAAAGTGTCCTAAAAATGATTTGTTCGGAGTGAGGAATTTTAGAATGATAGGAAGTCTCTCGAGTTTAGCCTTCATGCAATTTTGTAGATTCAAACATAAAATTTGTCCAGAATTTAAAGATTTAGATGCCTTCCTAAATTGTTACAATGCTTTACCAAATCTGTGACTCCTACATAACACAAATCAGTGGTCAAATGTAAAACAGTATATTGTAGATTCACTGTAGGTTTTCAACCTTTTTTAGATTTATGCACGTGGACATTTTTATAATGTAATTACAACCACCACAAAATTAGCTTTTTAAATTGCAGACAGTAATGCATGTCAAACTAATATGTAGTGGCCTTTTCAAGGCCTAGTCCCAGGGAAAACATTTTGTAGAATATAGGGGAGCGGGAGGAAGGGAAGGAATAATTTTTTATTTAAAGTTAATTTCTGCACTATCTTCGTTCTCAGTTATCTGCATGAATAATAATGAGGAATATTTTGTGACTTTAATTCGTAAATATGTTAACAGCACCAAGTACTTAAACTTTTACATCATGTCTTCAGCTATTTGTATTTTCACTTGAGTAAGTTCAGTGGTCTGAAACATGATTCTGAGCTTCACATGAATTACATCTTAGTGTGGGACTCAAAAGTTCCATCCCTGAATTTGGCTGTTATTACCTAGGCGCCCTGCAGCTATACAGGTGTTCAGGTACACATTCCTGACTACAAAGCTGCTTTTGAACCTTGTTATGTTGAAATACTAGAAAAGTAACAATGACGGCAGCAAATTAAGGTCACAGAAATCATTAGATAAAGGGAAAACAACGAGGGGGTTCCTGCATAATTTTCTTTTAATAAATAAAGTGAGACTTAGGTGGTGGAAAGAAGGAACTAGATACTCTACTTACCACCATGTGTGTGCGTGCGTGCGTGTTTGTGTGGGCACTCATGTGTGTGTATGTTATCCACTCCCTTTTCTTTGAAACTTCTAAGATTACAATAGGGGAGAAATCCTGTATGTTGCAATGATAGAATCTTTTGAAATTTTAGGAAATCACAGTTCTCCAGGCTCTCCATCTTGATTTATGCTTGAGTTATTATGTGCCATATTTGCTTTGAAACCTTTGATTATCAGTAGTTTTACTAAAATTTTGAAGAAATAATCCACTTTCGTCTGCTTTCTAGATTTTCTTAATCTAAGTTCATAAGACAGAACTTGTTGATAGCATGGTCTTGTAAGCGCTGCACGTTTGCAGCCATTACCACTTCAAAGAGGTTTGAATGAGGGAATGTTTTTCCCTTGTTAAAATAGTTCCTGTTTCCGTAGAAACTTCATTTTTAGATCTGTGATGGATGAGCTATCATAATTCAAGTATACAGTTCTTTTTTTTCTATCAACTCTTCGTTGTCATCCAATAGTGAAGACATTACAGATGCAGCAAGCTTATGAAGTACTACTTTCTAAAAGAAATAGGAGGCATTTTCATCTTTACTATTGTACTTTTGGTTATGCAAACACTTTGATGATACCATGTTTCTGTCCCCCATAAATCTGGTCAGAAATCACTTTTGATTTTGTTGATTAAGTTAAACAGTCTATAGTAGGATAGAGTACTGGGTACAAGTGGTCCAAAGTAAGATAAAAGACTACGGTAAAAATGCTAGATCTTAAAAAAGAAACTGGTTTATGCACTAAACGTTTTGTGCCTTGGTCTAATATTAACATGATGTCTGTGTAAAATGACAAAAAGAACCAGTGTTGAATCACGTTTTATTTCCTGTCGTTCTGCATTATCCCAGATTGCTAAATGTGGTCTTTCCAAGACGTTTGATTGAATTCCTGTATACATTTGCTGTCCTATGTGACAGTTTTGTCATTGTTAGAGATTTCAGTAATTACAATGGGAAACAGAAGCTTAGGTTATTTTCCTTATCAAAACTATGTTCCCTGGAGCCACAATATTATGATGGTTTTCGTGCTCTTGTACATTGGATGTCTTAAGCTGAGTGCAGTTTAGGGGATCCTTTCTAATTACAGGAAGGTACTTCTTTCCTTCAACACTGTGATCTGACCTGTGACAAATCTGTACTATACACTATGTAAATGGCTAACAAGTCAATTGCAAACCAACTGAATGTACAAATCTTAGTGCTGGTGCTGAAATCTCTTCAGAATAGTCATCATGATCTCAAAGTTCGTTTCAAAATTTGCAAGCATCAAGTGTCAATCAAAACTGAAGATGAAACACTAATGAATGTTGAATTCTCATGCTTTAGGTGTACTTCCTTATTAGAGTTTTTGGTTCTCTGCTATTTTTACCGTACTGTTTCATTTAAATTTCCTACATGCTAACTTCGTTTGTGCGATTGAAATAAAATTGCAGTATATACGTGTTGCTTGTTTGTGACACTTAGATAATCTTCTGACATAATTTGTTGGTTCTAAAATAAGTTGTATTGAATGTAGAAAACACTCTTTAAAGTCCGTGACTTCACTTCTTAAAGTTTACATACCAACACTACAAAGATTTCATAAGTCATAAATACTAAGTAATGTATACAAAGGGAATATGTGGTAATGTATCTATCTACTTTTTGCTTGAAATAGCTATTGGGTGTTCCCTGTGTGTTCTTATTTTCTCTCGGCCCAGCTTGGTACAGTGTCTTACAGTCAAGAGAGTGATAAATGTTTAAGTTTACTCCATTTTGTTTTACAGCGTAGATACGTTAAACTCATTTATGCAGTTAAAATTTTCCTTTATATAGTTTGCAGTGTAAAGGATATTGTAAGGGCCTTACCAAGTACTGAGTTTTAAATATAGTGAAATCTGTATCTATAGTGTCTGTTTATACAGTAGTGTTTGTTTATATAGTGTTTGTTTATATGTAGTTCTTGAAACCCACATATAAGCAGCAGTACGTTTTATCTGACTCTTACGAAGTACTGATTTTGAGTTCGCTTTAAAATTTGAATGTCTTCATTAGAAATACAACAGTCTTTGTCTTCTTTCTCCTACCGGACCCCAACTTTTCCCTCCCTCATCCTCTCCGCTTCTCATGGACCCCATGTTCCTGCCGTTCACTGACGTTTGCAGTCATTACCCAGTCCACAGGTGTAAACATATTAACTGATTTTTTTCTCTCTGTCCTGTCTCGGGTTCTTGCTTCCCTTCATGTATAAATCAGAATGTTTGTCTACAAACTAAGAGTCACTTCCCATTCAAAAATGAATGAAGTAATGGGTGGTAACCTTTAAAATTTGCCTAGATACAACTTTGTCTCCTAAATTTGTATATACTTCCAGTGCCCTTGTGAAGAATTGGTCTTTAAGTTCTAAGTAGTGTTATCCTTTGAAGCACAGTTTACAAAGGTATGCTACCGGATCTCTGTGATTCCTTTCTGTAGCCATCCTAACATTATATATAACCCTATTACCCTTTCAGTTCTATCGATTAAGCGTAAGAATGACATCATATAAAGCATACTGTGTGAAAGAACTCTCTAGGAGCTCTTAATTCCTTTATGAAGCTATTGCATAATCTGCTTTCCTGAAGACATTTACTCCAGCATTCACATTAAAACTCCACACGTGTTCCTGGTAGTACCGTTTTTGTTTTTAACAGATGAATTCGTATCTGTACATCTCCTCAAAGCTCTAAGGGATGAGAAAGGGATCCCGAGAGTATAATGAAATTAGTGATGCTAATACCTCTGACTTTTCACTGAAAAGCCATTTTATATTTAGACTTAGGTGTTTCTGAAGTATGCATAAGGAATCTTTGTCAATCTGGGTGAATAGAATTGTCCCAGGTATCTGGCTACAAAAAGACACAGTGGAGAACATTTATTTTTAAGAGTAGTTTTCTCTCAAAATAAGCACATTTGCCTAAGAAGCTAAAGTTGGTAGCCCCTCAAGAAACGACTGTCGAGGGTCTAGAATGCAGATTTTCTCTGTTGCAAACTTCCAAATGGGCTGTGGGTTATGTTTGTTTCCTTTATGTTGCCTCTAGATAAGTTTTGAGGCTCAGTAGGTTTTTATATCTGTTCATAATACTTTAAAAGTGAAACCTTCAAATTTTCAAAACGTCGAAAACTGATTAGAAAAGAATTACTAGAGTAAATTTAGGAGGGTTAGGGACATGCAGCATCAACTTAAATGGAGGTCTAGGATATCTCCCTTGTTGATACCAATGGTGAATTCACAGAGAAGCAAATTCAATCAGTAAGGAGATACAACTGAAAGCTCCTAATGTTATGAACTATGTAAATATCTCTTTCTAAAGAGCTTTTTTTTAAAAAAAGTAACTGTCCCTGTGAGAGGATAAATAAATGATTGTCATAATGACTTAGGATGTTGAAAGAATTACTGCCACATTTATTGGTTATTTTTGTTCAATCTGATGAAATCAATATATCTGAACGTCAAGAAAGGAAAAAAAGGACTTTTCAGTTATTATAGATTCATGTGTTGCACATAAACTCTCTAAGCTGAAATGTTAGTATCAGTTAAGGCATGTAGTTGGCTTCAAATACTTGCTGATTAATTTAACATGAAGAATAAATAAAGCTGAATCCTCAGTTTTAAGTGTTTGAGCCAAAAGGTCCCCGTCACTGAGATGTACCCCACTTCTCTGAAGCATGTTGTATACTTGGAGCAGAGAGCAGAGCCCCTGGAAGCTTCTGGTATAGGTCTGTGGGATTCCTAGGTAGAGGGAAGAAATCAGGGCCTCGGAGGCAGCTGAGGGTAGGGAGGACATATGCATCATCTAAAGAGTGTTGTGGTGTGTGTTTGGTTTTTTTGCGGTACGCGGGCCTCTCACTGTTGTGGCCCTTCCCGTTGCGGAGCAGCAGGCTCAGCGGCCATGGCTCACGGGCCCAGCCGCTCTGCGGCATGTGGGATCTTCCTGGACCGGGGCACGAACCCGCGTCCCCTGCATCGGCAGGCGGACTCTCAACCACTGCGCCACCAGGGAAGCCCAAGAGTGTTCTTTTACATCACTTTTTCATATAATTCTAACTGAAAACTCAAATACGACCTTTTTTCAACGGTTCTGAGAGAAGACAGCTTTCATTTTAATAGAACTTACTAGAAAAGCTGATATGTTTCATTAGAGGACTAAGTTTGCATTTACTCCATAAGTGTAAAAATCTGTATAAAAATCACAGCCTCATAGTTTATCATGTTTAAATTTGATTTAACTTTTTTCCCCTTTGGCTCCAAGACTGATTTCTTCAGCAATAGATAACAATTTTTAAAATATATAAAAAAGAAATTGCTAATGTAGGCAGTGAATAACGTCATATGGGTGCATTTGGTTTTTGGTTAATGGTGGTTCTTCCAAGAAGACTTAGAATATATTAAAAAGCATGCAGTTAGTTGGTCCTTTGGATTACACAGGAAATGGCATTTAGAAAATTTACATTGAAGAAATTTATATTGATAGGTGTTTACATTGAAGGATATTTAATTCTCTGTCAGGTCCCAAAGTTTCCATTCAAATCTATAGAAAATGAGAAAATAGGTTCTTGGTTTACACTTAAAATACAAGCTATTTTAATCATACAGAAGAAATTGCCACAGAAGACTTTTCAAGATTATGGTTCATTCATGCCCTTAGTCACGTCCATGGAACCTTAGTCTGAGTCCCTTTTTTAAAGATTAAAGGCATTTTTAGAGACGTTTTTCAATTTGCTTCATTTAAATTTTAGGTGAGAGATACCGATTTGGAATTTTTATTGTCATTAACCATGTTGAACTCAGGTGTAAACTCGGTTTGTTCTGCCTGCCGTGGCATTGGGTGTTTTAAATGTTCCGGAGTTTCCTTAGATGCTCGTATCCTCAAGTCTGAGGTTTGTCCGTTCTTGGTGGTGGACTAACTTAGCGCTGTCACCCAGGCCCCGTGTGACCTCAGGTGCTGCCAGGCTGCCCGGCAGTGGTGGTTGGGCAAGTGGAAGCTGGGCGTGATGAACTTACATGTAGACCTAAGTTAGTTCTGCGCCTTGAAGGGTTGGTGGTAGGCACTGACTTTGACACTAAAATGTCCAGGGAGAATCATTTCCCCCTGAGAAAAGTATTGGGAGGATTTAGATATTCAGAAGAGAGGTGTATTAAAATCTGGCCTCCTTTTCTACCTACTTATTACCAAGGGGAATGGGAGTTTCAGGCCTGAGCCAAGGAGTTTACAATTTGGTTTCCTTAACGTAGACACCTCATCATTATAGGTTTCAGTTGCTGAAATTGAATTTTACGGGGTAGTATTTGGTCCTCACATAAAATAGCCTTGTTTCTGAGAGTAAACATCTTAAAAGATTCTTATTTTAACCCACTTCTTTGCCCCTTTCTTAGGCTGGACACTTCGTGTTCCTCCCACTTTGCCGTCTCACTCCTCCCTTTGTGTGTGGGAAGTGGACCGGTCATTGGCCTGGGCTCCAGCCGGCTTGACCAGCTGTCAGGCTGCAGGGCTAGTCCATGTGGTGGTCTCCAGGCCGTGTCTCTGAGGTTGCCCCTCCTTTTAACACTTAGCTCTGTGTGTCATCATCCAGTGTGTACTCTGCAGCCACTGGTTTGCTTTATTTCTTCCTTTTTGATCCAAGAGAAGGGGAAAAGGGCCCGAGTTTTACTCTCTGATCCTAAGTGCTGCTTTTAATTGTTTCAAAATCTTAGACCCTATTCACTGGAAAACATGCATCCTAGGTGTGAACAGTAAGGGAAAACTGATGAAGTGATGATTTTGCAGTCGTGCCGCATGCAGTGTTAGTGCTATGTTAACTGCTGCCCCAAGGCCCTCTGCTCACTCGTGAGATTTCACAGATTGGGTTACAGGTGTCTGCGTTCTCCTGGCCACGGCCTCAGCCTGGAAGCACAGGCATCCATCCATTCCCACAGATCCAAGTGATACCGTGTGGGATCATGTGAGATGTGAAACCGTGCTCCGGTTACGATTAGATCAGTGACAAAGCCCTTTTGATTCTTTTTCTGGCCCAGTAGCTTTTTTTTAAGTAAACACTCTGCAGAGCTGGATGGAGTGAAGCAGCCCTTCTCTGTTTCTTGGGGAGGAATACACTTGAGCAGCTCTCATGTCCCCTGAGCCCGCTGTACCGTGGTTCCTTCTATCACTGTCATCCATGGGAGGAATAATGCCCTCCCCTCTCTGCCCTTCTTCTTATACACGAGTGTACAAGCTGTCATTCCTTCCCAGGTCCTTGTTAATCCAAAAGACTAACGGCAGTTTCTTAGCCAATGAGGTGACTCTCCCGCACCATTTGGGTGAATGTTGTTCTTAGTTCTTGCTTGATCTTAAGGAGAAGATAATTGGCACAAAGTCAGAGGTTGAATCGGAAGGTTTGGGATTAGAAAAGATGAGTCCTGTTTTGCAGATGTTCTTTTACTTCTGTTCTTTGTGGGCATGTGTGTGTTTTGGAATTCACTTTTTTTAGCAATAAGACACGCTTTTCATAATGTGTATTTTTTTTCTTTTGGGGGGGAAAATGAAGTGTTTCTAACAAAAGTGAATGAGCTAGAAAGAAGATTCTATCTTGAGACATCTGTAGTTGGTGCAAAATATTCAAAACTCAATTACAGTATTTACACATTTTCATAGACATTCTTTTTTTGGTTTGC